GTTGCAAAAACAAGGTCAAATGACTACTATAAATTGAATGGAGACTGCGACCAAAATAGAGGCCACTATATCTAAATAGTTAAAATTATTAAAGATTGGGAAAAGGTCGCGTCAATCTCAATTTAGAGGGTAGTCCATAGGTAATAATGCATTATTCGCCGTGAAAAGTTTTCTGGAACAAGACGACTAAAATTAAAGCCATGTGGAATGGATATTAACGAGAATATGGTTTTATATACGAATTAAAACAAAGCCCAAGATACTCACAGTCAAAGACGTCATCCACCAGCTCATCTGGCAATAAACAATCCTCTTGGGCACAGTTAGTTGAAAGAGAGGATATCGTACTGGACGACATGCCAACTTCATTATATGGGTTGATGGAGTTAGCAATGCGGCCGCTGTTGATGGTGGGACCAAAGTTTATAGGAGTAAAAGTGTGGTTGGACACGGGGTCGTTGCAAAAAGCTAAAGCAAAACACGGAAAATAATGAGTCAAGCAGCAATCAAGCTTTATAATCAAAATATGTAAAAGAAATGTACCAGTTGGAATATATAGGTGATATCTAATATGTTGAAAAATAAAAACGATAAACTACGAGCTAATATGAAAAAAAACAAAGCCAGTTAGAAGCAGGTAGACATCTTTTCTTGAGTAGCTATCCTAGATCGCTTTAGATGATTAAGTGATAGTTGAATTTTAACTTTGGGCTCTGGCATATCAACAGATTTGTGGGCACCACAATAATAAAACTTACATCAACTTTGCATAATCAAATGCTATTTTATTTGAGGGAAAGAATAAATAAACAGTTGTAATCACATCCACATGTTTTAGATGATTAGCCTCATAATATCTACGTTATGCATACAGTAACAAATCAAATCACCAGTCTCATTAGGATTGCAAAATTGGATATAAGAAGTGAGTAATGTTTTAAGTTTGACAGCTTTCTTTGCTTAGTTATTTTTGCACATTTGTCATAATTGATGGTTTATGGCCCTGAAGAGGTTTGTCACATAAATAAGGAGGGCTAGCCACGGAGTAATCAGGAACATATGACGTTGAGCTGAAGACTATGTCGCACAATTCAACAGCCAATTCCAAGGCAATATTCTTTCAATGTGTATAATTTACGAATCATTTCTATTTTCCATTTTAAACAAAATAAAAGGAACGATATAAATTTCATGAGAGATTCACTGATACCCAATCTTTTCTAGATTTACAGCGTCAAGTCAGAGCCAATAAGTTAATGGTTAGGAAGGTTAAATAAAATAGATTTTTGAAATTTTGCTCATCATGCAAAGTTTTCTACAGTATGTATTATTAATAGTCCGAGATGAGTGGAAATTTCGCTCTCATTTATGTCTTAACAACATCCTCAGCGTAAATTAAATCAGGGAGGGGCAGCGTATATTCTAGATGTGTTACGTCATCCAAATAAAATTGCTTAATCACAAAAAATTCAGGTGTGACCTTGTTTTTGCAACTTGATCATATTGGTAGGAAGACCTAGAGGAGGAAACCTTGTCCAGAGTACACAGTATGCATGATTTCCAGTCGGACCGTGGACTTGGTACATTCCCAAACGTTTCACCGGCATCGTAGTCAGCATCGTCAGTGAGCTTTGCTGGTCTTAGCACCACAATACAACTCGTCAGAAACAAATGAAGTCGATTCTTTGACCAATTGTCTGGTAAATAGTTGTGGTATCCTTCCTGTTCTGGGTTATTCATATACCCTATAAAAAGGATTTCATGAGACACCTTCACACTCTACGTTGGCTTTCTCACCCCACCCTTGTGTTGGGAATGTTGATCTGAGTCTGCCATATTATTCCGCAATCCTTTTCCCATAAGTCCAATCAGTCTCTCTCTCTTGCACCGTAGGATCCATCTCCTACCTCCCTGGTTTAGGTATTCCACTTGACCCCCGCCACGCTATCTGTGCTACTCGGGCGTTATTTCCGACACTCAAGACTTTGATGACACGTATACTCCCGATTCGCTGAGTAGACCTAAAAAGTCTGGATTCTCATGCTAGATGCGAGACTATAGATTCTGAGTAATTCTTATGGTCAAACATTTGCTTCACCGGCCAGGTCTATGATGAAATGCGTCTATTGTTAGCCAACTGGTTCTAGCCTCAGCTGCATCTATCGTCTTCTATCCATAATACCAATTCTATGACTTCCTATACCATAGTTTCTAGTGTACCAACCCACAAATGCTGTGGTTCTACTTGTTTTGATTAGGCCCACTGTAGATGTGGTCTCTTCGATTCTGATTGTTCCTTTCTGGTCGCCTTGCGATTTATTTTCCCAAAATTAAAGATATTATCTTGATTCGGTCTTATTCTTTTTGCTGTTGCCTGATCTTCTCTGAATTTGCTTAAGCTGTATTGACCAATCGCTACACTCTTCCGACTCAATGTTCAGTTTTCTTACATTCCGTACGAAGCCATGGCTCAATAGCCTTGGACACAGAGATAACGTGAGTGTATGACAAATCTTCATTCGTTATTTCGCATCGACCAATCAAAACTTAGCAGCGCATCGTTCAATCATAAGTTGACATGGGAAACTACGCAAGGATGGATAGAGTAGCCAACATACATACGAATGGCGAGACTCACTGAAAATGCCGGCGAAATGTCTGGGAATGTACCACGTCCACGGTCCGACTTTTGAAATGATCATTCATACAATGGACTCCGGACAAGGTGCGCTCCTCTAAGTCTTCTTACCAATATGACCAAGTTGCGAAAATAAGGTCAAAAAACTTCTAAACAACGAAAGCAGACTGCGATCAGACGAAAGGCCACACCAGCTTGGTCTTCATAGCTTTAAATAAACTATGGAAGTAAGATTGCCAAACAATGCACTAATTACAGCCGGACAAAGAAGACAAATGTAAGTCAATCCTGTTATTTGGCCTTTTTGAATTGTTGCAAACATTATAGTATCGTTCCCCGTTTCTGCAATTTGCCCAGGGCAGAAGAGGAGATACCACAACTGTTTAGCACACGTTTGGTCAAAGGATGGGCTTCACTTATCTCTTTTGACGAGTTGTACTATGGTGCTACGAATGGTGAGACTCACTGACGATGCCGACTACGATGCCAGCGAAACGCCTGGGAATGTACCACGTCCACGGTCCGATTTGGGAAATGAACATGCATACAATGGACTCCGGACTAGGTGCGTTCCTCTAAGTCTTCCTATTAATATGATCAAGTTGCGAAAACAAGGTCAAAAAGCTTCTAGCTAACATACTGTCTAGTAAGGCCACGTTTTCTTCCTTTTCTTTCTTCCCCTTGCAGTGACCGCGGAGTATATACTTTTCTATTTTGCGCCACCTTTAAATGACTGTTTTTCTATTGTCAGCCCCCCCTAGTGTATTCAGTCGTTTTGTAAATAGGAAACTTGGTAATACTATTTTTCTCGTATGTAAATAGAGTTTCGAGACTACCAATAAACATCGTAATACATTTTTTTTCTTTTCTCTCTTAGTTTCATGGCCTCCAACTTTGGAGTTATAGAGTGCAAGCGTTTTATATTTTAGAGACAGTCCACGTCCATTTTGCAACACTGAAAGGCAACGTACGAAGTTTTAACTGATCCAGCCTTGTTCAAGTATGCTGTTCAATAGAAGATCGGTACGATTTCTCATATTATTACCATATAAATAAATAAATAAATATATATATAAATTCATTAGCAGTCTATATTGTCCATTTGTCGCTGTGCCTTAAAAATGTTGTGCTGCACCCGTTGTATGAATGCCTTTCAGTCATAAGGAAACATAGAAAACTTACCCACTGGAGGCTGCGAAGCTGGTAGCGTGTGCTTTAAGGTGATATTATGATCGATATGGCCAACAGAGTCATGATAAAGTGAGCCCATGTCTGACGAGAACTCTTTATTGGTAGAAAGAGGAACTAGAGTCGTGTTGAGATCACTTAATGCCGGCTGAATACAGCTAACAACTGTGTGATCTATAGATGTGGAGAAAACCGAAAGTGTATCGGTTGGCAAGGGGAGTATGGGCTCTGTGGGTGGCGATTGGGGCAGCGATGGCGTAAATGAAGTAGTTTGGGCAGTAGTGACCGCAGCAGAGGACGGCATCTGAGTGGCAGTCAGTGAAATGGAGCACGGACTTTCACACCCGATGGTCAACACGGAGACGGATGGAGAGGAAGAAGAAGAGGAGGCTTGGGAGAAGCAAGTAAGGGGTGCAGCAGGTGTCCGGCGAGATTGAAGCTTAGGTGAGAGAATCGAACAGCCAACTGGACAATCGACTCCAGGACTGGAGAGCGGACTGACGACAGTAGAGGTTAGATGTGAGAGAGAAGCGGATAAAGGAAGTCCAGGGCTAGGCTCTAAATGGCGTTTAGAAGGGCTAAGACTAGAGTTCGTTAGCCTATAAGTGTCCGTTGGTGTTGTGTAGCTTAGAGGACAAGATGTCGGAGTAGGCGGCCAGTCGGAAATAGAGCGGCTGGTCATTAAGCTGAAATTGGGTTAAGAGAATAGTTTTAATAAATGGAATTATATGGGGTAAGAAAAAACCAAATCAAAATTTATGCCTGTAACAAATTGAGGGCTTCTTGAAAGAGATTTAAGCATAAAATAAGTGTATTAATTCTACTTCTAAATCACCATTCCCTTTTGCCCCAAAATGAAAAGTTGAATCACATTAAAATATTAAGGGGTTCTTCTAATATTATCAAATGTTTGCCTGAATTCTGAGACGAAAGATCCATGCAATCAAATTTTTTCATAAAATTAATACAATTTCTAGCATTTGCATGAAAAGAATACGATCAAGAGCCATTTAAAAATAAAGAAAATATTGTATAAATAGTCACAATAAAACTGACTGATTTTATGTCTATTTTGTAAGTATATTTATGTTTTGGAAGGACATTAAGAGGATATCAAACAAGGCACAAGAGGTGCAGCTCCTAGTATAAAAAAGTATATTAGGTGTATAAAACCCAGAGCTGGACAATGCAGAGCCACCGAATCTAGGGGGGGGGGTGATAATGGATCTATCGATATAGATAAGATTTTAATAGGTATAGTAAGATGCAAAATTAGTATTTTTGTTAAGGACTTTTGCCTAATCATTAGAAAGCAGCCTGGCGCATATTTGGTGGTAAATCTATGAATGAAATATCGCAAAAAGTGTTATATTTACGGGCTTATGAAGAGCCTTTGAAAATATTAATCTAGGAACTGGGGAAGCTCACCCATAATATTAAGTAAAAATAGAACGAAAATCATGCGAGATAAAACAGTGATTGAAATCAATATGAACGTGTCAAATAGAAAATGATTAGATTTTTGTTCATATTGCTGCGAAAACCTAGATGGCGAAAAAAGAAGCATTGAATTAGAATACACCGAATCTCAGTCATAGTAGCTGCAACTTCTATGGCTAATTATCAAGAGATTCCCTGGCATTTTATTCTTATTCAGCGTCAAAAAGCCCCGTGTTTGGCTAGGATATATACTTAAGTGAAAAAGAGCACATAGATTATTGTTTCATATAGAAAAATTTCCTAAGTTCTGTGGTGGTTTCCTCATTTCATAGTACCTTCCTATAAATTTCCGGAATATTTAGAGAAGTTTACATAAAGTTAAAAATTAAAGAGTTAAGAAACCAACTAACAAAGCTATAAGAATAAACAATACAAAACAAATACAAATAAGAGAAGTCCGCTAGACACTTACAGTCCACCTGAATCGCCAATAGGACGCCTCATCGGAATGGCTTCGTGCAGGTTCAACGTGTGTAGGGTTGATGCCACGGCATTACAACCGCCGGCTTGTGTATTATGAACGAAATTCGAACCATATTCAGAAGCTATGGAAGGAACTATTTTAGAAGTAGCGATAGCGTACCCGGGATCAGAGATATTTGTAGCAGTGTTGTGGCATACCAGAAGATCAGTACCTGATTCACTGATTTTCTGCCCAGAATACAATCCATCTTTGCAAGTGGCTGTGCATTCGCCAGAAGTATCAAAGCAAGTTGAGATCAACGAAGAATGTGCTGGTAAATTGAGATTGCACGTATCGCCTCCAATGACATTCGTTTGGGCACTGACACCAGCATAGGCAAGTGGAGGGTAGAATGAAGAAGGGCACGGTAGCAGAGATCCAGCTTGCGAGGCGCCAGTTGGTTTCTGTATCATAATTCGACTACCCGAAGAGGCTGAAGCTCCGGGTGGAAGCAATAGCAAATGCAAAGTACCTGTTTGGCCAATAGAAGATGACTGGGCATCTAGTTGAGCACAGTGTATTGCTTCAGAGGTGGTCAGCTGTTGATATGTGTGTAGAGGCGTCGCTGTCCGTTTCCCTCGCGTTTGCGGGGGGGTAAGATATACATTATCATCTATGACTTGAGAAGATTGCCCAGAAGATTGTGAGCCTCCGAAGAAAGCAGGAAAAGAAGAAGCCGACAAAGCTACGAACACAGGGGACAGCTTTGGACATAAAGTAGAATATAAAATTCTTATGCAATTTAAAAAATTCCAGAGGAATAAAAAAGAAACAATAAATAACAGTTGATCGACCTTGTTTACACAACTTAGCCATATTGGTAGCAAGACCTAAAGGAATACACCTAATATGCATGATAATTCCTAGAGTCAGACCGTTGACGTGGCAAATGCCCTGACGTTTCGCCTGCATCGTTAGTGAGCCTTGCCATTCTTACCACCACACTACAACTCATCAAGGAGACAAGTGAAGTAGATCCTTTGACCAATTGCCTGCTAAACATTCGTGTTAGCTCTCTTTCCGTCCTGGGCTAATCAACAATCATATATTCTCGTATCGCCTCTTCACTATCATTATTTTTCTCCTTTACTTATTTAAATGGTATGGTGTGCCCTTTTGAGCAAATTGCATGGCTTTCTCACCCCTACACTCCAAAATCCTTTTAACATATGTCTTATCAAAATCTTCCTCTTTCCCCGTAGGATCCGTCTGCTATCTCGCTAGTTCAAGCATTTTACTTCACTACTGCCACCCTTTCTATGCTACTCGAGGATTTATTTCTCACACTCTGCCTCTGGAATACTAACTTGAGGCTAAAGAACCAGAGTAATTCTCATGCTCAAGCCTTTGCAGCATGGACCACGTATATGATCAAACACGTCTACTGTTAGCTAACTAGTTCTACTCTCCTCCGCATCTATCGTGCTTCTACCTATAGTGTCAAGTCTATGATTTCCTATGCCCTAGTCTATTGTGTGCTAACCCTCTAATGCTGTGGTTCTACTTGTTTTGATTAGGTTCAATAGAGAACCAAAACGTAAGATTAAGAAAGGATCGAGACTGGGTTCTTACCCAGTTCTTACCAAAATGACCAAGTTGCGAGAACAAGATCAAACAACTTCTATACCACGAAAGAAGCCTCCGACCATTCAAAAGACTACACCATCTTGGCCTTTATAACTTTAACGGCAACGATAGCTTTGTTGAGCTAATTAATATAATAGGTGCAAATTCTCAGTTTACCATGGAGTTAGAAAATGAAAATAAATTGCCTTTTTTCGATGTATTATTATGCAAAGGTAATGAGGTAGGTATAGATG